ATTATCCGCTTCTGCTTCCGGAATTGTCGGTTTAGTCGTTTTAACCTGTCAGATTAAAACAAGAAAACCGACAATTCCGAAGCAGAAGCGGATGATTAAAACGCACCTATTAAAAATATTGCGCCAAGATGTAGGCAACACGTAATAAGGGTTTAAAATGGCGGAGTTTTCTATCTCCTTTTAAAAGGCACTCAGAAAGCTGCGCTGTGCGACCATTCTCCGTATAGTAAAAGAAAATCAAAGTATGTGGATTAGGGACATAAAGATAGGAAACGTAACGACCTCAGCAACGATGGCGTCATCTATGCATCTCAGATGTTAACTATAGGTATACGTTATTTGTAGACAGACCAGTGTTGCCAAATATTTTTTTTAGAGATCTTACAAATAGAGTAGAAAAATGGTATTTCGACAAAAAAAAATTGTACAATAGATACATGTATAGCATAATATAACTTAAATGAAATGAAAAAATAAAAAAAACTTTGGCATGATAATTTATTTATCTATTTATAAAAATGTTTACAACGGAAAAAACTAAAGAAAATAGATGAAACTTTAAATTAACACATTTAATAATCAATGACTGACACTTGAAAGTTATTGAAATTTTGCATGCAAGCTTTTCTTATGCCGTGATAGTCGGTATTGTTACAAAATCACCATGGTCAAAATCCCGTGAGTGAGAACGAAACTGCCTTCAGAAATTATGAACGGCCTATGAACCTTTGCAAGTAGTTTTTGATTTTAATTGTTTTATGTTCTGAAGTTGTTGCAGATATTTAAATAAACCTACTAAAAAAGTGAAGATCGTATTTTTAGGTACAAACTCACTGAAACAATCGCACATCGTACAGAGAGTTATAACATTGTATAAATACGATTTAAATCGTACGGTTGGCAACATTGAGACAGACAGTTAACATGGACAGTTTGTAAATATAAATGTCAGTTTTATGTATATCGAAGAATCCTGAATTTAAATTTTGAGTTCATGATTGTGTTATCCTCTAGATCAGTGGTCGCCAACCTCTCAATGTGTTGAGCTACTTTGTTAATTTTGGAATGAACAGCGAGCTACCCACACGGAAGCCACGTAACGCAACGTAAATGAAATAATCCACAGTTAATTTATCATTATATGTATTTATTTTACTATTTAACTGGTAATACATAATACATAGATACTAATAATAAACTAATAACAAAATAACTAATATTACTAGTACGTACTTGTTCATAGCTACATTCCTACCTACCAAACGAAGGTGTTTGAAAAATAAACACAAACTTTTATCCAGCCACAACAGCATGTCACGTAAGATTTAAAAATAGTTAATAATAACAAAAAAGTAATGCACTATCATGAACATAAACAATGAAAAATAAAAAAGCACGTTCAATGAGAAGGCTGACACTCAGACTCATAGATAATTTTTTTAATGTTTGCAGTATAATTTGATACAGCCATTCGAATACAATTATCCAAATGTTCATCTGTAAGTCGATTGCGATATTTGTTCTTAATAAACTTCATATTGGAAAAAGAAGATTCACACAAATAGGTTGAACTGAATAATGCTTTCACTTTCAAGGCAACACGGCATAGAACTGAATATTTGTCTTTACTTACAATAGTCCAGATACATTTGGTACTTGAGACTAACGATTTTAAGGCTAAATCATTTTGAAACTCAATTACTTTCATTTCTGTTGCAGCGAAGTCTTCGCCAAAGTTCTGCATAACACAAGTTGCAAACTGTTGGATATCAATTTCCATAAAGAGTGAAACAACAAACTGCGCTACTAAAGCCATTTCGTTGAAATCCTTAAAACGATTTTTGAAGTTATTCTTCAGGGTAGAAACCATTTCTACATGATATTTGCTGTCATAGGGTTCTAATGGATTTTGAGATATTTTTTCTGAAAGAATAGGAAAATGCTTGGCATCGCTGTTAATTAGGTTTTGTTCCCAAAACTCCAGCTTTATGATAAATGCTTTTATATCAGAAATCATTTCCGCTAGTTCTTTGTCTCTCCCCTGAAGCTGCAAATTAAGTTCGTTTAATTTCTCTGCAATGTCCACGAAAAACCAAAATCTCTAAGCCAGATTGAATTTTCTAGTTCCGGAGTCGGTTCATCGCGTTGTTTGAAAACTTAAACTATGCCAGATAGGACATCATTAAAACGTTTCAGCACCCGTCCTCTACTTAACCATCGGACTTCAGAGTGAAGGAGTAGGTCCCCGTATTGACAGTCAACTTCATCGGCCAATGTTTTGAATAATCATCTTTGTAACGCTTGAGCTCTAATCTTGTTCACAATTTTTACCACCAGTTTCATACCGTTGTTTAGTTTCAGGAAATTTTCACATAATGCTTGCTGATGGATAATGCAGTGGTAACAGAGAAATCTTCTTTAATCGTAAAATCACTAAAAACCATCCTGACGAACACGTCCATCTGGGCAGTATCAACGACATCTGTAGATTCATCCAGTTGAAGTGAAAAATAAACACAGTTATCTAAGTCAGTTCTTAACTTTAAAAAAATATCATTGCTCATTACTTCTATACGTCTCATCACTGTATTAGCAGAAAGTTGCATAGATTTTATAGCTGAAACTATCTCGTCTTTATTTCTAAAGTTGGCAAATAACGAATCAGCAGCTTCTAAAAACGCCTGTTTTATCATTTCCCCGTCTTCATAAGGTTTCTTTTTTTGTGCAATTATCTGGGACACACGGTACGATGCTTCAGTTGCAGCCTTATTTTTGTCGACTGTTCTTAAAAATATTGATTGTTGTCCAATTAACTGCTTTTTTAACTGTTTCAGTTTCTCCTTTCTGGCGGCAGAATGTAGTGGGAATGATTTTTCAAAATTAGAATGAACAGTTTTATGATGTCTCTCAATATTTCCTTTTTTAGCAACGGAGACCGAAGTATTACATAACAAACACACATTTTTATCTTTAACTTCTGTTATAAAGTATTGTTCTTCTCATTCCGAATGAAAGTGGTATGTCTTTACCTTCTTACAACTGCTTGCCATAATATTATTTTTTGTTGTTCTATACTAACCCAACCGCTGGACATTGGTTACGCGTTCAGTTTTAAACTAAGCGCAATGTCGCCGCGCCATGCGTATTTATCACGTTCAAAGCAATCCTGATCGTTCTCGAACACTAACGCGCTGGTCCGGCTGGTCGGTTCTAGCCAATTCTAGCTTGATGGCGTCAGCGGCAAATCGCTCACCGCAACGTTGCAGCTGTTTATGTTTAATATTATGACAATTAGATTTTTTTGTGGAATTTTCGGAAGCTTCTCTGATTTTTGCAGTTTGTATTTTTTAAATTAAAATCGTTGTGAGAGCTACCAGAATTGCCTCCGCGAGCTACCGGTCGATCGACAGGTTGGCGACCACTGCTCTAGATGAACTAAGCGAAATAGTAGTGGCTGTGTTTTTGTGTGAAATTTGACGATAATAATTATATTTTGTAATATTACAATAAGTCGGAGAACGTATTGCATTAGTAACACATGCCACAGGAATAAATTTAACAACCCCAATATGGCGTTCTTTAATTAATCAAAGTAAGATCTAATCATGTAAGTAACACAAATAGTAACCAACTTTTGTCACAAAGTAGGTATTTATGTATTATTTATTGTTTTAGAACAAGAAAATGGCTTCAAAACGTTAGAAAGAAGATTTGATATAGGAAGAAAAATATCTGAATTCCCATTATTGAGTTTTCACTCAATATTTTTAAATAAGGCACCATTGGCTATTCGTTTGGAAAATAAAAACAAAAATGTAATGTTACAAATAACGATCAAAAATTAAAAAAATGTTTGTCATGAATATAGATTTACAATAATTAATCGATAATAGACTGTAAGTGCAATATTCTTTTTAATAAATAATTTAGCGTAATTACATTGTTTAAATTTATTAACAAGAACATGAGAGTGCAGTCGTTATTTATACGACCTTTATTATCAGGTTTTTAAATTTCCCGCTGCGTTGTTTGATATCAATGAAAGCGCCACATAGTGGGTCAGATGTTAACTGCGTTAAAACTGGTCGTTGTTAAGCATTGGCTTCTTATGAGCGTTTCCTATCTTTATGTCCCTTATCTCTGTTTCATAGTATATAACCAAACATTAATATCAAAGCTTACCATAATATATCAGAGGACTCTAGAGTGAATAGAAAGAAATTAATTATTAACAGACAACTCAGATTTACAAAGTATCCAGTATCGAAATTCAGAAAGAATGATAATGTCAAAAACGTCAGCGGTTGACAGAACACCAAATCATTATACCATTTAGAGATGGGACACTAGAGATAGGAGAAACAGAGTATTATAAATAGACCGCTTACAAATTAGGCATTCCAACGACCTGTCCAAATGGCTACCAGTGGGTGTTATATAAATTGCTCAAAGCTGGTCGTTTGCGAGCAGCCATATTGCCTGGCAAATATTTATTAATTTGAATCAGTTTAGCAAAAATGTGTTTTAAAACCAATTTTCAGACTTTAGATATTTAAAAAATAATAATTGCTTATATTTTTACTTCAAGGCATAAGCTTATGTTTATTTTAAAAAATAGGGATGATCAATCTATGTAACTATCTATTTCACTCACCTTGTCAAATCACCAGGCCTACAGAGTTGCCATAACTTTGCCACATCATAACCTGTCAAAACACACTGGTAGTCATTCAGTTTGGAATGCCTAATTCTTTAATATATTCTAGAAAAAAGTGTGGCATTTCATTTGTTAAAAAGTTGCTATCACTTTGATATATGTCACTTTACAACAATTTTCAGTTTTTTATTTTATTCCTTGCAGTAAACCAATCAAAAAAAGAGTTTAATAGTTTTTCGTTCAAATAAAAATGTTAGAGAGCCGCGAATACTTATCTTGATCTCCCGGTAGATATTAAGTAACATCGAAAATTAAAATATTAATAATAATACTTTACTTTCAGTATTAATTGGAAAAATTACATCTACCCTTAGGTTAGAATCTTGTAAAAAAGCTGACAAAAGACTGCAAAAGACGAAGGAAGCCTTATCGGCTATGACTACAATAAAAATGAATAATTGGGAAGATCATTTTGAAGAAAATATTAGTAAATCTAGATTGTAAGTATATGGTATGATCCAAATCATTTTTTAACGAATACCCAGCTATCGGGATCAAAAAATCCGAATTCCTAAACTTTGTAGAAAAATGCTTGAATAAAATCAAGCGACAGATAAATATTTCAAAAATATTCGACTAATCGATTATTCAGTTATTTTTTTATGAAAATCGAATTATCGGTTATAATTAATCGATTATTTTCGATTAATCGAATATTTTCAATATATTATTTTTGTTTTGATAATGGAATATTCGATTTTAAAGAAAATACGAAAAGAAAACTTTTTCTAGAAAAATCAATTTATCGTTTAATCGATTTTTTAATTTACATATATCGTCTAATCGATTTTTTAATTCATGGATTTTTTCGATTTTCCAAGGCAATCGAATAATTTATTTTAAAGGAAATACGTAATAAAAAATATATTACTTGAAAATAATCGATTGATCGAATATAATCGAATATTTTAAATAATCGATAATTCGGTTATTTTTTTTGGGTTTTTGGGTGAACTAATTCTCGGGAAAAAATAGTTCTCATCTCTGTCTGATGCTACCAGGAAGCCTATTCTCTATGGGAAAATGAGTGTAAGAGCACGCTCTCACGATTTAGCCTTGCTGCGCATGTCACTCGACTAAAATGGTAAGAAATCATGTCAATAGCAAGAGCAGTGTTGCAAGACGTACCATAATTATCGTATTTGTATGATATACTAAAAAATTGCCCAATATTTCAAAATTTTTATTTTCCAACTTACGAGCTAGATTGAATTTATGTTGCGTACTCACGTTTAATATTTTTGTAATATATTATTACATACGTATAATTAAAAATGTTTTTAATTACAAGGTGATTCACAAATGTGACGCTAGTTTTTTTTTTAATCTTACTAATTCTAGTGTGACGTCAGAGAAGCATTTTTTCAAAAAGTACTACTCGATATGGTTAATTGTCGCCCACATTTTGCACAATACACATTTCTTATACAGGGTGTTTTATAGAGAGAACCACAAAATAAAATAATTTTTTTAAGAATTACTTCAAAACCCTGTACTTATGAATTGAGTTTTGGGAAAAGTAATATCACTAAAATATGCGTACCTCTAAGCTTCAAAATATACAAGGCGGCTTATTTGTTGAAAGATATTCCATTTTAATAAAAGTACAAAAACCACAAACACCCTAAACTTTCCCGGGTTAAATGTAACCATTTTCTGGTTACGAAAGGATAGATTATCCCTGTCTCATCCTGCGACAGAGGTGCGTTGGTTCACGACGGCAGGTTTCGCAAAGGATTTTGGGGGTTTTTATATCCCCTCACCCTGCTTATATCCTTATATTGTAAGTTCTACTACTGTAACATGGCTTTTACCACATGATTCACTCTCTCCAAAGGATTGCTTTGAGGATGGTTATTGGTCGTAAATACCTGTTTTATTTGATATTCCTTTTTAAGAGAACGAAAGGCTTAAATTATACCCCGTTGTCGCTGATTACTCGATTCGGAACACCAAATAATAAAATTACCTTTTCTTTCAGAAGCTTGATAATAGGAAGAGTGATAGCAGATCTCATTGGAAATAAGAGACAAAATTTGCTAAAGCAATCACATATGGCTAAAATATAACAATTTCCTGAAGATGATCTCGGCAAGGATCCTATAATGTCGATACTAAGGAGTTGAAAGGGGCGCGTGACAGAGGTGGTTTTTGTCAACATTTGTTCTGCTGTTTTTCGTTTTTTAGGTTTATTCTATATACAAACTGTGCAGCGATTAACATAGCGAGCTATGTCGTGTTTCATCTAAAAATACCCATGTGGCCACTTAAGGGTGGAACATGATGTTTTTTGATCACCTCCTTACGTTGTTCTTCGGGTACCACCTTTAACCACTCTTGGTGATATTGGGTGAGATCTGGGAACCTTAAATTTGCTCTCTTGAAAAGATCTATACCCTCAACTCTCAATAAAGGGAATTTGTCGGGATCTTATTATACTCTTGCCAACATGGTATGTAGCCACTTATCCCGGCGGTCCATCATTTGGATTGGGAAGAGCAACACAATCTATGGGAGGTACCGCACGGGAAAGGGCATCTGGGACTACATGTTCCTTCCCATTGCGAGTTCAAAGTCGTACTGTTGTAAACAGAGTGCCCATCTGACGATACGACCTACAGGGTCCTTGATGTTAAATAGTCATTTCAAGCTATAACGGTCCGTTACGACCGTAAACTTGGAACCCTCGATCCACGGACGACATCATTCTATCGCAAAGAGGACGGCTAAACACTCCTCCGTGGTCGTATACTTCCTCTCTGCCTTGGTTAAAGATCTTGATAGGTAACAAATTACTTTCTCTGTATCCTCATGCTGCTGAGAGAGCACAGCGCCTAATCCATAGTCGCTAGCATCTGTTTGAAGGGAGAATGGCACTTCAAACTTGGGATATGATAGAACTGGAGCGGAGATTAAATGAGTCTTGATATTCTCAAAAGACGTCTGACATTTATCATCCCACTTAAAAATGACATTCTTCTTCAAAAGTGTTGTTAGGGATCAGTTAAGGTGGAGAAGTTGGGGACAAACCTTCTGTACCAAGAAGCCAAGCCCACAACTCTACGAACTTCAAAGATAGTCCGTGGTGGAGGTAGGTTTACAATGCCCTCAACCTTATCCGAGTCTACCATCAATCCAGCAGTGTTTACTACATAACCAAGATATTTCAACTCTGACTTACAGAAGAAGCATTTATCTTGGTTTAATGTCAGGCCCGCAGTGACTATGTAATACTTTCTGTAGGACATCAATATGTTGTTCAAATGTGGGAGTGCCGAAGACAATATCATCTAAATACACGAAACAAAATTCTTCTAAATCCACTACCACAAGTTGATCAATAAATCTCTGCCAGGTAGCAGCGGCACTATGTAGTCCAAAGGGTATTTTACGGAATTGAAATAGACCACGTGTAGCAACCACTCCTCTGCCATGGGAATCTGCCAATAAGCCGACTTAATGTCGAGTGTCGTTAGGTACCGTGCATCCCTTAATTTATCAAGAATCGAGCTAACGAAAGGAAGAGGGTAAGCGTCCGGTAGGCTAACTTCGTTAAGTCGCTTATAATTAACACAAAACCTATATTTATTGTCTGGCTTCTTCACGAGTAAAATTGGGGAAGCCCAAAGGGAACTTGATGGTTCGATTATGCCATCCTTCAGCATCCTAGCGAGTTCTTCGTTTACATGTTTTCAGAGAGGGGGAGAAAGTGGATATTGTTGCTGTTTTATTGGGGTGACACTGGTACGGATGACATGGGATACCGCGGAGGTATAGCCAGGTTTCGTTCTCATGCTTTGAAATGTGTTAGTTATTAGACATTCCAGGAGGTTACATTGCTCGGGATTAAGGAGTTCAACGTCATGTATGGCAGTTACATGGTCAGGGAGCGACTGATCTCTAAAGGACTATTCATCAGAAATGAGGTTTGGGATTATCTCCATCTTTTTTTTTCTCTCTCCTGGGCTCGTCTGACTATGTGTCTCCGAATAACACTGAAGCCTATTGGCTTATTGTGTTTTACCCCATGTTAGTTCATAGCACCCACTCTATCACCTTTGTCCCTTGTACAAGTTTGTACAGATCCTTGGGTGAGTGGGTTCTATACGTTATTGGATCAACCTGGGGTTGTCCAAAAAGAGCCTGTCTTTTGCGATCTAGAGATTCGCATTCTCACAGTATGTGTTTGGCCGTTTCTGGTTTCTTGTGACATAGTCGGCACATGAGTTTCCCATTGTACATGCCAATTTTGTTCAAGTGTCCCTTTACTGGGGCGTGCCCAGTCATGAACCCTGTTTTCACTTTCAACTGGTTCCTATTCATTAAGAGTAGTTCTCCAGTTCTTTTGGGACATGGTCTGCCTATGAAGGCTTTTCCATGTGTCTGTTTTGGTTGATATGTTGTTCCCGAATCCAGTCATTTATAAAACCCCAGACTGTACTTTTTGGTACTCCTGGGTTTGTGTCTGGTTCCGGTGTTTCTTTTGACCCTCTTTTTTTAAGTTCGTCAGCCTTTTCGTTGCCTTCGATCCCTTTGTGACCTGGCACCCAAAATAGTTTTACTCTATTTCGGGCTGCCAGTGTTCTTAGTTCTTCGATGCATTCCCATACCAGCCTCGACGTAACTTTGTGACCATCTTAGTCCAGAAGTCAATATCTAAGATGAGAAAGTGTAGTATCGTTGGTACCACCAGTACGTCAAATAACTGAACCCGATCGCGCAAACGTATCGGTAGGGTGACAGTTCCAGCGACCTGACATTGGTCACCATTGGCAAAAGTGCAGGTGCGATGGTCCGCTAGTGTCAGCTTGGTGTTTTTTCTGAGCCAATCCCGTTTTTCCTAGGACTGTCTTGGAACATCCTGAATCCAATAGAGCTAGTACTGTAACTCCATAATATCTACTTTCAGATATGCTCGGGTATCCTGTTTGGTATGGGCAAAGTTTTTAAATCTAGATATGAAATGATAACATTCAAGACATCTTTAAAAATGTATAGATAGAAACAAATAAAAGATCAAAATCAGAAAGGATTACAAGAAGAAATTATTTTTCAAACTTTAGCTGAACAAGAATAGGTTAAGTGTTATTTTTCATTTGTTTTTTATATGTGTACGCAATAAAATTATTATCAAATTACCCTAACCCTATAAAACAGGGGTGGCCAATTTTTCTGTACATAAAATCTACTTTTAAATTAAAAGTGTGTCGCCATCGACTTGTAGGCGTAGTCTAAGGGGGAGGAAGGGGTATGAAAATGCATACTATGTTTATACAATTTTGCAGTATTGGCACCTTATTGAAAAGTGTATAAAGGTAGGGTTGCTTAAAAATCTGACGACTAAGTATTTTTGGCGAGCTTCTAAAAAAAAAGGTCCTCACCAGGTTATATTTTTTTATTTAAACCCCTGGTCCCGAGTTTCTAAAAAAAAGGTAAAGGTAAAGGTCCTCAGCCTAAAGATCATAGACTCATGCAATAAAGAAATTTCCAGATCCAACTTTAATAACAGTATTCCGTACATGCCGCATGCGGTACCTAGATTTTTAATAACTTAAAACACAATTTAATTTTTTTATCAGTTGCAATGTATAAGTTAAAATATGAAAGAATTGTTATAAAAATTGTACAGTAGTATGGCTGATAATTTTAAGTTTTGTCTTCTACAATCGCTTCAAATTCCATGGTACTCGGAATTCCACCCCAGACTTTGCGAGCGATCGACAATCGACCAAAATTGGCTTAGCGATCAATCATTTCTACAGCATTTTACAACAATTTGATTTTAGTCGTCTAGCAACACTGGTGATGTCGAGTAGGAGGGTGTAGGAACGCTCTCATGAGTTCGATAATAGAGTACCTGTGATGTACCAAATGCACCGAAGTTCTGTAGGATAGAGTCGTACACTTTATTAAGGTCTTCGACAACGGTAGCTCTCCAGCTCTAAATCCTGTTTAGCTATATGTCATTTATTACAATTTCCGCATATAAACAATTTATAAACTAATTCTAATTAAACATTTAAATAGTCAGTAACTCCATCATAATAATGTGGTTGCATTAATATTAAATCATTTTGCCATGTGTACAATTTTTAATATAGGTATGATTATATTACTGTTAAAATAATTACATTAATTTTCTCTATTTTAGGAAAGAAATGAAGATCATGTTAAAAATTGTCCTATACAAAATTGTTATCCTGTTGCTAAGCAGCCTGACTTCCAAAATCGCCTTTTGTTGCCTCCTAACCTCTTATGTTCTTCTTGGCAATGCTATTTCAGCAGAACTAGTTTATTACGTATCAATGCTATTTTTAAGAATTAGACATGCTTCCAACGTTGCCATACCAATAGGAGTGACTGTCATAGCTGAGATGAATGTATCGATGAAGAGGATTGAACAATTATTAACAACAAAGGAAATTTGTATGATGAAAAATGAGTTAGAAGAGCAAAAAAAGTCACATCTCTATTTAATAGATGTTTCGACTAAAATTAACAATGTAAAAATCATAAATAACATTAATTTAAAAGTCGACTGTGGCTTGATTATAGTTAGCGGTGCTATTGGAAGTGGGAAAACAACCCTTTTAAAAACGATTTTAGGTGAATACGAATTACAGACAGGAACGATTTTGAAGGAAGGTATCATTTCTTATGCATCTCAAGAACCCTGGATTTTCCCTTCTACTTTGAAACAGAATATTATTTTTGGTGAACAATTTGATCCACAACGGTATCAACAAGTCTTAGATGTATGTGCTTTGAATGTTGATCTTAGACATATTCCAGAGGGTAAGTATCAAACTTATAGGTATTTTTGGTTTCTTATAAAGGGTGTAGATAATTTAAATGCACACACTATTATTATAATTTCCTAAGAGATAACAAATCTGTAAAAGGAAAAGTGACCAGATTACTGATATCTTAAAGTTCAAGTAAATAGTTTAACTTTGTCAATATAAGTTAGTTGATAGAAAGATTTCGTTTTGTAAAGTTAGATTGTCGATATAAATTATTTGGGCTGATATAAAAAATACTTATTTGAGATAAATAACTGAGAATATAATAATTGTAAATAAATTGGTGAATATAAATGTAAATAATAAAACTGCTTAAAATAAATAACCGTTACAATCAGTAAGGTGACTGATGTTTTGAAGTTCAGGATGTCAGTTCCGATTTCCAAGATAATTGAGAAAAACTGAATAGGTCAATTTTGTTTCTTGCGACCGAATCAAGAAATTCCGTAACGAAAATAAACCTAACACCCCCTACTCCGACCGGCACAGCGGTGCGGCGTTGAAAGCCGTGGAAGGTTTTATCCGACCCTATTCGTATTAGTATGAAGCGGAGTTAAATATACGTCTGCGAACTGGAACGTTTATGCAATACAAGAACTAGAAGAGCTTTCTCTGGCTTCTAATAAATTGGTATCACAAATGTTCCCGGCTGGCGAACATATTAGATATTAATTTTTTTTGCAAGATTTATAAATTATTAATTTTTATTTTATCACTGTTAACTATTTCATTATTAAGCTATTGCATAGATTTTATCGCGGGCTTTGAGCGCGGCAAACGAATTAAGAAATTCAGTAACTAAAATAAACCCAACACCCTCGAAAAATCGAAAAATCGAAAAATCGAAAAATCGAAAAATCGAAAAATCGAAAAATCGAAAAATCGAAAAATCGAAAAATCGAAAAATCGAAAAATCGAAAAATCGAAAAATCGAAAAATCGAAAAATCGAAAAATCGAAAAATCGAAAAATCGAAAAATCGAAAAATCGAAAAATCGAAAAATCAAAAAATCGAAAAATCGAAAAATCGAAAAATCGAAAAATCGAAAAATCGAAAAATCGAAAAATCGAAAAATCTAAAAATCGAAAAATCGAAAAATCGAAAAATCGAAAAATCGAAAAATCGAAAAATCGAAAAATCGAAAAATCGAAAAATCGAAAAATCGAAAAATGGAAAAATTGAAAAATCGAAAAATCGAAAAATCGAAAAATCGAAAAATCGAAAAATCGAAAAATCGAAAAATCGAAAAATCAAAAAATCGAAAAATCGAAAAATCGAAAAATCGAAAAATCGAAAAATCGAAAAATCGAAAAATCGAAAAATCGAAAAACCGAAAAATCGAAAAATCGAAAAATCGAAAAATCGAAAAATCGAAAAATCGAAAATCGAAAAATCGAAAAATCGAAAAATCGAAAAATCGAAAAATCGAAAAATCGAAAAATCGAAAAATCGAAAAATCGAAAAATCGAAAAATCGAAAAATCGAAAAATCGAAAAATCGAAAAATCGAAAAATCGAAAAATCGAAAAATCGAAAAATCGAAAAATCGAAAAATTGAAAAATCGAAAAATCGGAAAATCGAAAAGAAAAGAAATTCCGTAACGAAAATAAACCTAACACCCCCCACTCCGACCGGCACAGCAGTGCGGCGTTGAAAGCCGTGCATCGTCTAACGTCGTTTCAGTTCGGCAGACTTCGGCACGGTGTTTGTGTGCGTGCAACTAGAAGTATGCGTGTAGACTAGCTGTTAACTGATTCTATCTCTTTTAGACACAATTTCGGAAAAATTGAATTTGAAAATGAATAATGATCCACAAGAATCCACAACAAAATATTGGACCACCATTGACGTGGTATTTTCCAGATATTTAGAGGATATCAAGTCTCAAACTTATGTTTCTTATTTCAGTTACCATAAACCTATAGTTTCAATGATAAAAATTCCTGAATAACCTACATGTATTGTAAGATAATAAAAATATTTTAAACAATATTAAATTCTCATTTATTCAATAAAAGAAAAAAAATTGTTTTCTTATCGGTCACCACGCTCAAAAAGTATAACTTGAATTAATATCAAAGAAAAAAAAATACTGCATAAATAAAATACATAAATAATTATAATTGCATAAGTTGATAAAAAATGCTATGCAATAGCTTTACCGCGGCAGTCCCCGAGTGCTACACGTATTTTTTAAATTTATTTTTCTTGGGAATGTTTAGTAAATATAATTATATAAAACTTTGTATGATATGTATTTTATCCCTCATAATTATTTATTATAGAATTTTACATTTTTATTGGCACTTCATAATTGTTACAAACAGCTAATAAAAAAGCAAAATTTTAATTATAATTAGGAGGAAAATTTACTTAAGCAGTTATCTGTTTCTAAACAATACTAAATAGAGCCATTTATATTTCTATAGTTTAATTTTACTTTTTACGCCCGCACGCACCGTACACGTTTATTCTAGATCAAGTGTTTAATCGAGTTTAGTACCATAGCGTACATACGGGCGTTAGTGAATAAAAAATATGTACCTTCAGGTAAAAGTGAAATGTCCGTTTTTCTGGAGCCACTATTCCGAAATTTGATTTAAATATTTTTTCAATTTTTGAAATCTATTAAAACAAAATTTGATTAAATTTTAAAAAAGTGGCCCCAGAGGAACATATTTTAGATGCACGTACATGTTTTTTATTTCACTAAAAATTAAAAAAATACTACCAAAATTTTGTATGGCTATATTTCGTATTAGTTAGAAAATAATTGCAAAAGTAAGTTCTCCTTAAAAGAAACCCGCCAATTTTCAAATTAAATATATTACAGGTAACTGCATTACCGACAGAGTAAGAGTTGATGGTAATACTGCTGGTAACTACATAACCGACAGAGTAGGATAGTTCTACAACTCCCCCCACAGGTCGCTGCAAGCAAACATGTTGCCAAATTTCTACAAAGAAACGGCAACTCTTAATAATCCTTCCTCTATGGACTATAGAATTTTTTTTTGAATTTTTTTAAATTTTTTGAATTGTTTGAATTTTTTGAATTTTTTGAATTTTTTGAATTTTTTGAATTTTTTGAATTTTTTGAATTTTTTGAATTTTTTGAATTTTTTGAATTTTTTGAATTTTTTGAATTTTTTGAATTTTTTGAATTTTTTGAATTTTTTGAATTTTTTGAATTTTTTGAATTTTTTGAATTTTTTGAATTTTTTGAATTTTTTGAATTTTTTGAATATAAAAATCGACCTATTCAGATTTCAGTCTTGGAAACCGGACATAGGATGGGCTCATAATTATTATTTGAAATTTTTAATTTAACAGACTTTTACAAAATTACAATAGTGTGCTTTTTTAATTATTTACACCCTATTTTACCAAAAAATAATTGTGCATTTTCTGCTATAAACAACTGTTTTAGGAGATTCTCAGAAAATTGGAGATAAAGGTACTAATCTCAGCAAAGGCCAAAAAGCAAGAATTAATTTAGCAAGGACTGTATACAAAAAAGCAGATATTTACTTAATAGACGACGCTTTATCATCTTTAGACACCCACGTTCAAAAACACGTTTTTCAAAAATGTATTAAAGAATTTTTAGCAGATAAAATTTGCATTTTCGTCACTCAGACCTCGCAATTCATTCGAGAAGGAAATAAAATTGTAATATTGGATAAAGGCGTAATAATATTTACGCAAAAAATAACAGATAGGAATAAGATTGAGTTTAAAACTTTTTTACAAAAAGATCAAATATTTGAATCAGATTTGGAAGTTAATAATAATGTTGAAGATTTAGAAAAAATATCAGAAACTTCTACATTATTAACCAACACATCAAACAAAGATAAAATATACGAAGAGAGTCAGAAGTCCGGTAAAGTGAGCTTTAAAGTTTACCTACAATACTGCACTTATGGAGGAGGAGTCTTCATAGTTGTATTATTTTTTATATTTTTCGTTGGAACACATTTTTCAAAAAGTTATACGGACAAGGTCTTAGGCAACTGGTAAGTTATAACGTTATCTTCAGAAGTACTATTTTCATTATCACCTTCATAATAATAATAATAATAATAATAATTATTATTATTATTATTATACATTGATAAAGGCTGAGTACATAAGTCCTATGATAGCCTAAAAACAAAATAGAAAAATTGGAACAAAGTAAACACACTGAAACAAAAAGACACCAAAAGTTAAATAAAAAGTTAAACAAACACCCGTCTAACTTATTTTTAAAGACATTAATTGTTATGGCACCCACAACTTCGTCGCAGAGATCGTTCCATACATTAAATACCCGGTTGGAAAGGAATGATTGTCTGTGCTTCGTTTTTAGGTTTTCCTTTTTTAATTTTATTTCATGACCACGTAGACGAGAGTCAGTATTTAATAAAAAATTATAATTATATTTAAGTATTCTAAAAGATAGAATCAGGTCCCCTTGTGGTCGACGATTCGCAAAAGTTGGTAAGTTTGACAATTGTAGTCTTTCCGTGTATGATGGTCGGACTGCTCCAAAGGTCATTCTGGTAGCCCGGCGTTGAACATTTTCTAAAAGGTTTTAGTCTGGCACAAGAAGCGGACACCAAACTACACCTGCATATTCTAACAAAGGTCGAACATACCTCTTAAATAATTTGATGGATGTATGAAAGGATACCTTTGCAAAAGTCTTTCGAAGCAAATATAACATCGAATTTGCACGTTTACATGTTTTTAGAATGTGTTCCGATCATGTTAGTTCTGACGTCACTAAAACACCTAAATCTACATACGAAGACAATTGTGCCAAATTATGGATACCGAGCGAGTAACGAAGACGTGGATTATTTTTTCCGATATGTAACATCACACACTTGTTCATATTTAACAGAAGAAACCAGTCCGAGCACCAATCAGTTATTGAGTTTAAGTTAGCTTGTATATTATCGTAGTCTACTAAGGGGTTTCCGTAAAATTTTGTGTCATCTGCATATAATTCTCTTTGCGACTGGATATGTTAAAGTAGATTACTTTAATAAGTTATAAAAGGAAGCGGACCCAGTATCGAGCCTTGGGGGACACTACTTGTCACTAATCTATCTGATGAGTAGGACTGACCAACTTTGATTCGAAAGCTTCTATTTCCTAGATAATTGTGAATCCATGACAATAATTTTCCTCGAATACCAAATGACTCGAGTTTGTGCTGCAGTCTGACGAAAAGGACCCTGTCAAAAGCCTTGGCAAAGTCGAGATAAATTACATCAATTGGTTGTTTGTATTCGAGTGAGCGATACCAATCATTATTGCAGCATAAAAGATTTGTTGTGGTAGATTTACCTTTAACAAAACCGTGTTGTTCCTTTGGTATTACGTTATGCTCTTTGAAAAAGTTAGTCATGACATCAACTACGATGCTTTCCATGATTTTTGATGAAATAGACAGAATGCATATCCCACTACGCGGAACTCCCCCTCTTTAACAATGTAGCGTACGCCTATAATTAAACTTTAAATCACTTTAGTACCAATTCATTGATTATACAAGATGAATCTCATTAAAAAAAATTAAAAGGTAACTTTTATAATGTTACAATATGGTGGTGGGATATTAGCCGAACCGAATATCACTCACAAAGCTAGAGAGCATAGCGATAGTGGGGATAACGTAGTTACCACATGTTTGCTGTGAAAGCAGGGCTATGCCTAATACAAAATAATAGGTACCGTATATTTTTGTAACCGTCTATTATAGGGAGTTCAAAAATGAAGAGAAAAATATGTTCTATTTAAAAAAAAACGATGATTTTATGTACACGAAGTGAAAGGCAAGATACAAGTATTATTATAAGTAATTTAGTCTGGATCATTATTGCATGTTGTTTAATGTACAGTGTGTATCCAAATATTATAGAATGTATAGTACGAGCAAGAGATATAGTGTGACTTTAAAGCTTTAAAGCCAGCCACGGCAACACACAAAAAACTAAGGAGACTGATACATCACCTTTAAAAGTAGTAGAGTAGCATTCAGAAGATTGAGTATACTTATTTTATTTTTACTTCCCTCGATAAGAATTGTAATCGTAATTGTAATCGGGTCCCTAGATTACGAAAAACATGTTTTCCATATTCCGTCGGTCTGTCTGCCGTCCGCTGTCTGTTGTCTATCGTCTGTCTGTTGGCGCGATAGCTCAAAAACGGCTTGAGAAAAAACTTCAAATTTTGTATGCAGGTAAGGCTTCCTCTTGGCTCAAAACCGGTTATACTTCCGAACAGATATATACAGGGTGAAAAGTTAAAAAACATTTATTTTTAAAAGTAGTTTCGACTAAATATGATTTCCGATCAAAGGTAACAGATCATAAATGGCTGCGGTCAGCAGACGCAACAGTTTACTTATTTTCTGCTGAACGACAACTTTTCTCAACGTTGTGCGAAACAGTTGTTGGATTAATCGCCATTTTTTGGAGCGTATTTAATTTATGCTACCTTTCTACGAGTAGCAAACATGTTGAAAATTCTGTTTTTGAGGTTAAGATCAACCTAAAAGTAGATTAAAGACGACAGTAACGTTTTAAAGCATGAAATTTCTAGAGTTATTGGACCCAGATCTCGATCAAACTTTCAAAGTTTATGTGACTGTTAAAGAAAAGCATCTAGTAATGAATTGAAGCCTGATTAATTTTACAATAATATTTAAGTCAATATCATCGCCATTAAAATATTGCCATCCATTGTATCACTTAAGCTTTCTTCACAATACCCTTTTATAATTTTACTTTTAATAAAATAAATAATCATAAATTTGGAGTTTGAAGGTTAGTTACATGACTTTAATAAATGTCAAATGTCACTACAGTTTCTCGCTCAAGCAAAAATACTGTTCAGCAGACTATAAAACTGTTGCAAATTGATCTGAAACAAATCCCGATCAGATTTTTTCTGCTGAAAGTAGCCATTTACTTTTTTAAAACTCAAAATGGTTTCCCTGTTTTTACAATTTATACAGGGTGTTTTTTAATGGTATGCTAATATTGTTGGGTGTGATTCATCAGGTCATTTTATGAAGTCGTGAGTCTGTGATTTTGCTCAACTTATGATCTAATTGGTTCTTCGCCACGCTTGGCTGTGTCATCGTCTTGTTGATTGAGCACAGGTGGGCAGTATTTGTTTATCCAGTGTTGTATTGACATTACTGTTTGGATTTTTTTATTTATAAAAAAAGGCTTTTTGGAGGCCTTTTGAAAGTGATGAAAATAATGTAATCCCTGGAGGTATGTAAATAATTATACCTCTGATTGACCATTTTTTAAATAGGTAGGATCAGTTGCACCCCAAAAACAATTTAATTGATAATAAATACCTACATAAATTGTAAAATTTAAACAGTTTAAAGTCTGCTTTGGCAGTTTACATTATTGTTTACCTATACAGGGTGATTTACAAAGAAAATGTAATATTTTATTTGTAGATTCTATAGTGGAAAATAATTTTGGTTTAATAACTGGGGGTCAAATATTTATACATACTAAGAAAAAGTAATAAATGTAAAAACTATACAAGGACACATATTAATTAAGTAGGTAATTACTAGTAAATAGAAACTTTATTAAGATAAGCATTTCAACATTTAGGGTACAATTAAATGAAACAAAGTGGAGTGGTCCGTAAAGGCTCCTCCAAATAGAGGAAAACGTTTTTTACTATTACACGGTTTTGTGCTGAATTGCTTGCTATTATCAGCAAATAATATTTTGAGTTGTTCAGCAGATTATCACCAAAATTTGACATCTACCTAGTTTGGTTAACAATTAATTCCTAATTTGGACCAAATGCTATAATGCCTCATACCACTCTCGTCAAATTAGTGAAATTTCAAAAGCAAAAGCTCAAAAGGAGGTAATTTCCTCGTTTTTGGGTGTATCATATTCACCTACAGCTTAAAAAAAAAGATTTACTTACAATATTGAAAGGTTTAAATCTCAAATCTAGCTATGTTGTGGATGAGATGGCTACGGCATTCGGTCATACCGTAATACGCTTACCACCGTATTATTGTACATTTAACGCAATAAAATTAATATGAAAAGGGAGATCAGAAAAGAAAATGTTAATCCTGTGTTGTCTGAAAGCGTTTTAGATGTTATCAGAGAAGTTGTTGTAGGTATAACTCAAGAATTATGGACCAAATGTGTTCTCCACGTTAGCAAAATTAAAAATAATCATCGAGTATTTCCGACTCATTCTTGCATTATAAACCTGAAGATGATAGTTCTGATGAGATTTGATTTTCCATTTTGGTTATATTTTTACTTTATTAAACGTAACCACGTATCTATTGGTTCACGTTATTTTGGAAAGGGACATGATATTGTTCCTGTTTTACTATTCTAGGAATGAACCTGTTATATTGCCTTAATGTGAAGTTTATATAACATTTGAAGCCTTCAATTTGGAAGAATCAAACTCGCCACTTTAAGTATTATTATTCTTTATTCATTAACTGATAAAACAAGAATGATGTCTTTCTAATATTGTACATACCCATCGATGTACTACCTGGGCGATAATAAATCAACACAAGAAATAAATAAATATCCCAGTGGCGTATTAGTAATATTTACAATATACAACAGTAACCTTGATATGGTGAGAAGGCTTGCGCATGCGTAAACACAGAAATTAAAGCCAGACTAATACATGCCAAAATTAAAATTTTTTTTTTTAATAATTTGATACAAATTACAGTTGTTCAAGCATTTTTCGTAAAATCCTACATTGATTTTTAATATTCAATGTAATATTTAAATATTTCAATTAAATCAAATACATAGTGGATGAAAATAATATAGTTTCATGGTAATTTTGATTACAAGTCGCGAATATTTATTTCGGATTAATTTGGCCTTTAGAACTAAATTTAGTAACATTTATGAAATACTCAATTGTTCAAGCATTTTTCGTAAAATCCTACATTGATTTTTAATATTCAATGTAATATTTAAATATTTCAATTAAATCAAATACATAGTGGATGAAAATAATATAGTTTCATGGTGATTTTGATTACAAGTCGCGAATATTTATTTCGGATTAATTTGGCCTTTAGAATTAAATTTAGTAACATTTATGAAATACTCAATTGAAGTTAGGAAATTATGCAAATAAGGTGATAATTTTTAAATGCGCATAACATTTTCACGTAAATATACAATAATTTTACATTAAAGCATAACATACAACTAATTATATCTGTCCTTCGGCTTCGGTTGTAGATGTCTATGTATGAATCCCTTTGTTGTGCCGAAAAAGAAAGAATATCTTTACTTCCAACTATATCAGTCTCCTTAGTTTTTTTGTACGTTGCCGGCTGGCTTTAAAGCTTTAAAATCACACTATATCTCTTGCTCATACTATAATACATTTATGAAGAATTCAATCTATTTTAAATACTTCTTTGTTTCAGGGTAAATGTGGTGCATGAAAATTCTATAACAAATACTATTGACACATCCACACAACAAAAAATAGAAAGAAGTCTGCCTCTATTACTTAACTACATTACTTTTACATTATCGACAACAGTATTGTCTATAGTATCAACATTTTTGTTGTTTAATTTTAGTAAAAAAGCTTCTTTAGGACTACATAAAAGAATGATCAAATCTGTCCTAAATTCTTCCATGAAGTGTTTCAATAAACATTTAATTGGAAATATTTTAAATAGATTTTCCAAAGATTTGAATATTGTGGACGAGCAGATTCCGTTTGCTTTATACGAGTTTTTAGAGGTAGGTACCTAAACATAAATAATATTTCTTTATGGTTATCTAGGTAATATATATTTATGTAATGTACCTAGGTAATCTCATTACCATAGTACATTTATTTAGAACTCGGAAAAATTGATTTTTCTGACTTTTTACTTAGAATACGGTTTCCTAGCAGATCTAGTCCACCAAGAAATCCGTTCGTGTATGGCTAGCTCTTCAATCTGAACGTATAATGTTACCTATTAACCAAAAATCTTTATATTTTAAATAAAGGTAGGTACTACACCAACATTTTTAAACTCTCGCAGTCAAACACTAATAGATATCACTTTATCCACAACTACTGGTATCTATAAATCAATTCTAAACTGGCAAGTTTTTGATGACATTTCGATATCAGACAACCGCTGGTTAATATACCAGGTGTTCTAAATTAAAGCGTTACAGCTATATACCGCTTTTTATAAAAAAAAAAAACGTTTCAGACGAAAGTTTTATAGTTTTGTAGGGAAAAACTTTTGGCTAAAATCGTTTTTTATAGCTAACCATAATATGGCAAACTTTTTTTCGCGCAGCAACATTTTCAAGTAACTGTTACTCAAAAAGTAAAAGTCCAATAAAAAAAATATTTTCCTCAAAAGTTTCTTATTTTTTTATGTACTTTAAGAATTTGTAAGAAAAAAATGGGATTCCCATTTAAAAAAACAAAGTTTACCTCGATATGGCCATATTATGGTCAGCTATAAAAAAATAAATTTAGCCAAAATGTTTCCCCCAAAAAACTATAAAACTTTTGTCTGAAACTTTTTTTTCTAAAATGCATATTTTCGGCGGTATTTAACTGTAACACTTTAATTTGAACACCCGGTATAAAATAAACTTGATGTTGCCGAGCTTTACGTTATCTCGGAACCCTAGAAAGAAGGACAGGGCAACATATGCTCACCTTCTCCAAGAGACTCTGAGAGAGGTTAAGGCCAAAACACCATGCAATAACAATGCTTTGGAAAAGTACTAAAACGCCATCCTACTGCAAAAAATCGAAGACTTGCCGCAGACAGCCCTTTCAAGAGATCCACATCGCAGTATTGGAGCCAGGACCTAACGGTATCTATCCAGCTTTACTTCAATGAGGTCTGGAAGAACTTACACCGCACCTAGTAGATATAAGCAGATTCAGATTCAAACCTAGAAGGGTGGATAAAACTGTCCCAAAAAACATACCGACCAATTAGCCTGACATCGTTTTCCATGAAGACATTGGCTATGCGAAAGGTACATAAGGGATTTGATGATTACAACAACACTACTACACCCAAATCATACACCCCAGGCAGTCCTACTAATTTAGCCCTTCGCCTAGTTGCTGGCTGAGAAGAGAGATCCTGGATAATAAAAAGTCCGATTTGGATGTTTTCATAGACATAGAAGGTGCTTTTGATAAAACGACTTTTCTTAAGATAATACACTCACTAACCAACAAGAATACTCCATAGATGGTTAGTGGGTGGATACATAACAAGCTCTCAAAGCGAGCAGTAAACACAAGTGTAGATGTGAGAATATAAGATACTTTGTTGCGAGGGGATGTCTACAGGTAGGGGTGCTATCACCTCTACTGTGGAACATGATCCTCGACACTATCATCATTAGCTTCAATAAAGACAGTCGCTACTCAATAGCGTATCCAGATGACCTGGTCATTCTAAGCAGAGAATTTTGAGAACATACTCTGCGAAAGAATGCAAGTAGCACTGAACAGGGGATTGAAAAAGTTAGGGGCTAGAACTGGAAACCAAGCTTGTCCGGGGAAATCCAGGCTGGAACTCAAGCAGGCTTGAGGGGAACCTAATGGAACCCCTCGAGGGGGAGCAGAGGAAAGCCTAAGGGACTGAAAAAAAAAAGAACTAAGGATACAACTATATTTCAAAACATTTTTCTTTGAAACTTCTGGGTCCTAAATCGAAAAATTCTATTATTCTGAGTTCTTAGTCGGAAAAATCAATGAATTCGAGTTCTAGAAAAATATATATTTTTTTCAAAAATCAAAAAGATTTTGTTGCCATTCTACGCTTCCATAAATGTGTTTCAGCTTTGCTTAATTCTTTTTTTTTTCAGATATTTTTTGGAATAATTGGAATAGTTATTTTAATAGCTACAGTAAATGTTATTTTCCTGGTACCCACAGTTATAATTTTTGTGGTCCTATATTTTTTGACAAAATTGTACATGCCTACGGGAAGAAATTTGCAAAGACTTGACACAGCAAGTAAGATTATAAATATGAAGTGATCAACAAACATGTTTCTACAGCATTCCATCGAAAAAATCACGCATGTTGAAATATAGTTTTCTTTTTTAAATTACAGTTTGGACTAACTTCAGAGGCGTGCTTAGTTGATATGGATATGACTCATATTCTTGTGTTTATCGTTTATGGCCTACTTTAGAAACATTTTTTGTGAATCACTCATTATATATTTCTAATAAAACAAAAACTAGAAATCAAAATTAATTTAATAGTTGACAAAAGTATTTTTAAATAATGTTATATTCAAAATAAACATATTTATTGTAAATCTATTTTCTATATACAGGGATTTCATTTCAAAACTAGCCACCCAAAATAACTTTTAAAATACCTTTAAAACAAAAAAACACGTTAATTTATATTTACGGGGGGACACATTTTACAAGTATCTGTAACCGTGCAGTTTCATCCCCTAAGCGGTGGTGAATATCACTTCTAAAATTTTAAATAGAAAGGGGTATCATGTGATAGCTCTTCTTAAATGCCTCTTTTTTTTCAATCTTTTGACACATTATTTTTTTAAATCGGATTAATTTTTCACCAAGTTATGCCATTTTAACCTTTTAAATTAAAATAATTATTATTTACATTGTATTTACATTATTAATATTTTATTTGCGTAAGAATTACATTGTACTTAAATAAGATGTTCAAAATGTCCGCCATTGTTGGCAAGGCAATGGTAAAGTCGCAGCTCGAATTCATCCCGCACTTTTTGAAGCGTCTCTGGTGTAATCCGCTCACACTCCACTTTTCTACGTCTAAGTTCAGGAATATCGCGAGGTTGAGTTTTATACACCACAGTTTTTAGATGTCCCCATAAAAAAAAGTTAAGGGGCGTTAGGTCGGGTGATCTCGCTGACCATTCTATAGCGCCCCTTCTTCCGATCCATTTATCTGGAAATGTCTCATTAAGCCAATTTCGTACAGGCAAGATATAATGTGGAGGTGCTCCGTCCTGTTGAAAAAATAGGTTTTCTTCGTCTAGTAACAAATTTCCATCTTGATCTATTTGGTTTTCTAAGGATTCGGTTATAAGAGGATTTATCAGATTTTCTAATAAGTTCAAATACAATTCCCCAGTTAAATTTTCCTCCATGAAAATAGGACCAATAATTTTATTACTAGTGATGCCGCGAGACGAGAGATTCTCGTCTCTCGTCTCGTCTTGTCTCGTCTCGTACGAGACGAGAGAGACATTTTCTCTCGAAAAAAGATTCGAGACGAGACGAGAGAGTGTCATCTCTCGACGAGAATTTCTCGTTTCTCTCGAGCTCTCTCGAGTTCTGTCGCGCAATTAATTTTTTACTTCTTTAAAATTTTCAATTACTTATCGTAACTTAAAATTTAAAAATATCAGATTTCTAGACAGTCAAAAAGTTAACTATAAAACACGTATTCTATACAGGGTGTTTCCGAACTTGGCGTCCAAATTTGTAGGGGTGGTAGTTCGCATAATTTGAAACCGATTCGCAGATTTCATTTTTCCAAAATATTTAAAATAAAATAATTAAAAATTAATTAAAAAATTATAAACAGGTACGGTCCTGCACTCGCGCGCGCTACGCTTATAATCGACAGAATTGCAAATCGCATCATTTTTTGAGGACTATTGCGCTACGCGCTCAGGGTAGGACCTGCTCTTTGATTTTTTTTATAATGGCTCTATTTTGTTTGTTATAATTTTTTTAGAAAAATGAAATCTGCCAATCGCTCTCAAATTATGCGAACTACCACCTCTACAAATTTGGACGCCAAGTTCGGAAACACCCTGTATACACAGTGAGTTTTAAGTATGGAACGCCTCAATTATCTCGGAAACGGCTAGATTTTTATTTATGGTGACCAGTCAAATGCGCCCCAAAAAAAGCGCTCCGACAAAAGCGCCCCGACAAATGCGCTTCCCGACGAAAGCGCCCAAGACAAAAGCGGCATCCTTTGTATAATTTTTAACTAACCAACGGACAGGATCGTAATAATTTCCATGCAGTCAAATTTTTCGGAGGTTACTTTTGGATATAAATTAGAAAGACAACAATTTTTAAGTGTTTTTTCGAAAAACTGTCAAAGAAAAAGTAAAAGAACGAACGTATAATATATTGTGACCATGCTTCTAAATGCTTTCATTTGTTATCACACGAAGAAAATTCTAACTTCCAAATGAAACCCTACCCCCTCCCAACTGACTTTTAAGACAAAGTATTTATACCAGGGGCAGAAGTTGGAAAGTCTTTTAATAGTTCTCCCACTTCATACACATAACTTGACAGGTTTGCGGCGGACTAACCGAAGTGGACGCGATACATTGGCGTACAAAATTATTTTTTAGATGTTAAACAATTTCGAGAAAATAGTTTAATAAATTGTGAATAGCTGTTGAAATTTTGTAGAATTATGATTTGGGTATTATAATACATGTTTAATAATTATTTATAGTCCATAAATACATGCGATTGTCCAGTTCTTATTCTATGAAACGACACTGGCAGGTAAACATTATTTCAAAATTCTCGAAGTCGTCCGACGTGGTTTGATGTGTACCCTCCCTTTACCTACCAAAAGCCTTTCCAACTTCTGCCTCTGCTATCTATTCTTAGTTAACGCCCAATTTGGGCCACTAATTACTTTAAATTTCAATTGTTTATGTCAAATAGTGTTAAGTAAAATGATTGTGACAGATGGACAGGCAGAGAGATACCAAGGTAATTTCCCTAAGTGTTTCTTATTGCCAATTTGTTTACTAATAAGATAAATTACTTAAAAAATTATTTTTTATTGTCTTCAAAATTTTACTGTTTTTTCATGTTTCGTCCTAAGTATATCTTTTCCAAATTTAAATTTGATATGTTTTTATCACGAGAGAAACGAGACGAGACAAGACGAGACGAGAGAATGGCTCTCTCGAGCGAGAGAAGCGCCTTCTCGTCGAGACGAGAGAACAGTTTTCTCTCGCCCTACGAGACGAGAGAGGCCTCTCTCTCGTCTCATCTCGTCTCGCGGCATCACTATTTATTACCAAGAATTCCGGCCCATACGTTGATTTTCTGAGGATATTGGCTGTGCTCTTCCCGAAAAACATGTGGATTTGTATTGTCCCAGTACCTACAATTATGTTTATTGACAAATCCATTTAAAAAGAAACCTGCCTCGTCAGTAAAACAAATATTTTTAATAAAATTATGGTCTTCATTTGCCCTTTGAGTCATTAATTCGCAAAATTCTAATCTTCTGTCGTAATCATCCTCAGCAAGCTGTTGTAAGGAAAGAATTTATTTAGCCGTAACATTTTATGCACAGAGCCAACAGAAATATTTGTTAATCTGGAGACTTTTGTTATTGATGTTTGAGGTTCCATGGCAAAATGACCTAAAATTTCAACTTGTGCAGCTTCAGTTAAAACTCTACGATTCCTTACAATTTTATTGCACACACTTCCAGTTTCTTGAAATTTATGAACTAAATCCAACACATACTGATGCCCAACATTTTTATCGGTATGTCTCTGATTAAAAACACGAGCAGTTCTGTGTGCACAGCGTTGTTCTTTACCATAAATAAAAGATTATTTCAATTCTTTCTTGTAAAGAATAAACCATTGTCAAAATTAAATTGTCAGTACACAACGAAACCAATAATCTACTAATAATAAATTGTTTTAATTTACGGTCAAAAATATCTTACGCAAAAAACATTTAAGGCTTTTTGCTAACTTGTTTATCTCGGTATTTATACTCATGCATTTTAATTCAATATTTTTTCCGGTTTCTAGGTTATAACTTGGTGAAAAATTAATCCGATTTAAAAAGATAGTGTGTCAAAAGATTGGAAAAAAAGAGACCTTTAAGAAGAGCTATCACATGATATTTAAAATTTTAGAAGTGATATTCACCACCGTTTAGGGGATGAAACTGCACGGTTACAGATACTTGTAAAATGTGTCCCTCCGTAAATATAAATTAACGTGTTTTTTTGTTTTAAAGATATTTTAAAAGTTATTTTGGGTGGCTAGTTTTGAAATGACATCCCTGTATATAAAATTGTTTGTTCTGACTGACTGACCTATCAACGTACAGCCAAAACTACTGAATCTAGAAAGCTGAAATTTGGAACATACGTTTATTTTATAACGTTAAGTATCCGCTAAGAAAGGATTTTTGGAAATTTTAACTTTAAAGGGGGGAAATGGGAGGTTTTAATGAAACTATTTGTTCTTTAAAGTTAGAAACATGAAAAATTTAAATTACAGCTGCTAAGCATACATAAATAATGACGTGTTTCAGGGTTTTTGATTTTCATATTTTAAGGGGAGAAAACGGGGGTGAAAGTTTGTATGGGACTACCGATTTTTTTTGTTCTCTTTGAAGTTAGAAACATGAAAATTGGAATTGCAGCTATTGCCTACAAATTATTAATGACGAGTTTCATCGTTTTTGGATTTTCACATTTTAAGGGGAAAAAATGGAGGGTGAAAATTTATTTGGGAGTATCCATGTTATTGGTTCTCTTTAAAGTTAGAAACATAAAAATTGGAGAATTGCAGCTACTAAGTACAAATTAATAATGACGTGTTTCATTGTTTTTGGATTTCACATTTTAAGGGGAGAGAACCAGAGATGAAAGTTTATTTGAAAGTATCGATTTTTTTTATGGTAAGAACTAGAAAATTGGAATTGTAGGTTCTCATCATAAATAAATAATGCAGTCTTTTAGGGTTTTTGCATTTTCACATTTTAAGGGGAGAAACGGGGGGTGAAAATTTGTTTGAAAGTAGGTATATATTTTTTTCCTTAAAGTTTACCTTGTCCGCACGCCACTATGTTTACAGTAAAACACGCAATGTTGCTAACTCTCAAAAGCTGCAAAAATTTAATTAAAATATCTCCGGTGGTTTTGGAAATATTTAAAAAATTGTATTTTTTTTATGAAACTTTCACACCCGGTATTTCCGTAACGGAGCA